CTGGTCGTCCTGTAAACCCGTGCATTTGAAATGCCACCAGGCCTTGCAGGTGTGGCATTGCATACCGCGTTTGACGTTTGACGGGCAGCTATTTTGCCCACATCTGTTGTGGTCTATCAATGGCTGCAGAGGACAATCGGTATAAATTGATGTCATGTTTCGGACTAGATGTAAAATAAGAAGTGTGCGCAAAATATAAAGGGGTTATTTCCCAAATTGTTTGTTGGAGTAATAAAATTCAACAATTATTCGTGTGCAATCTGTGAATGGATTGAACGACGAAAAAATTCTTTCACGAATTTGCACGAGGGAAAAACGAAACCAATTTCGAACGTTCCGTCAGTGATGGTAAAATCCAGTAAATGTTTACGTTAGTTCAGGCAGATATTCAGGTTGTATGCCATTTGGTTGGTACATTTTCGGGAAAGCTACCTCCCATAGACCCGAGTTAGTCGTTGTCGCGTTGTGCGCATTGGATCAGGATAGCTGAGGGCTTACCATACAGGAGGCTTAAGTCCTCAAGTGCTGCAAAGGGTTTTTGAAGCCTTTCACCCGGTCTCTTTAATGCCGTATCCAAACCAACTCAAGAAGCTCAATTTCCATTCGCCTGTAGGGCACCTCTTTTACCACGTTAGCCTTTGGAGCACATATCCAAGCAGCTAGTGCAGTTCCCCTGCAGGAATCGAGTCTTTCTCCGGAGGCCACTGAAGCCATTCGGACAGTGGGACGCTGTTCTCATCGGGGTGATGCTTGAGCTTTCAAGACCTGAACAATAAGATATTGTAAGAGATCGCATATACGTTTCATAATCTTGAGCGTGAAAGCACGTTACGGTCACCGTCATTAGTTAATTTCCAACGCTTTCGTGAATAATCCTGCCACTGTTTGGCTACTCTGTTATCTACAAATTGGAGTACGACGCCATAGGCTCATCGAGATGAGCCTTTATTGGTCGAGAATAGGCGTGGAATAGCACTGCCCCGCCGTCATGTGCTTCGGTTGGTCCACAGTCCCTGATCGGCCACCGTATCTGATTTGTTTGGTTAAACGGCTCGCGTTCATTTGGCCTGGAAAATCTCAGAATGTGTACACAAGATGGACAATAAAATGTCCTCCATCCGCCCCCTACGGTCGACCGAACGTCTTCCAAATCCTGACGCAACATGCGATTCTACCAACCTAGAAATGGAGTCCATTTTTATTGACACCATTGCGTCAGAGATTCATCAACGCGTCGAATGCCGGCATCAGGTAATAATACTCAACGCACCCAATCGAACTCCACCTAAACGCAACGAAACCGCCGTCCTGACTTCATGTGGCACGCTAGACCACCTGAAGCGCTCGGCGTCTTTGAATGATGAAATCCTTCATGTGTTGCCCAATTACAGGGCGGAGGGAATACCGCGTGTCTGCTAATATCTCAGGCCGTTCTCTCTCTCTGCCAAAAATTCCAAACCATAAAAACCAAAGCTTCGCGTACTCGAGTGCAAAGACAGCTTACCGAAAGGTTACCTGAGCATGCCCATCAACCGGGAATACCGCGTGTCTGCTAATATCTCAGGCCGTTCTCTCTCTCTGCCAAAAATTCCAAACCATAAAAACCAAAGCTTCGCGTACTCGAGTGCAAAGACAGCTTACCGAAAGGTTACCTGAGCATGTTGCCCCATCAACCGCCAGTATTTGCCTTCATGCTCCCAAGGTAGTCTTAAACTATCAGAGCTCCGTGATTACTCCCAGTACTGAAAACGCACCACACTATTCAACAGCCACTGGCTTCGTAACCTCAAAAGACACTGAGTCTTACATCGCTCCCGCGATCTAGCTTTTTGCTTCACCAACTGTGAAAAATGAAAATGCCCATATCAATTCAGAAGAAATCTCTCCTGGTACTTAAACGACTGACGCGCCACTTCCCCATACCAGAGCAATGACTGCACAAGACGTTGACAGCACTCGTTCTTGTCACAGACCCTCTGATCTGCTGTCTCCTAGCGTTCCATTCCCGCCAAAATACCCCCTGGGACTGAAATATTTATTGTCAGAGCCCCGGTATGCATGACACCCTCAACTACACCCTCGGGAATTTATCCCTTGTTCTTCACAAGATAACTGGACTATGCTCCGGCCTCCCCACAATTGCATGACTAGTACATCAAATCAGACGTACCGTAAGCTTGGTGAAACCTCACATCACCGGTGGTCAGCTCAGATCGTCGGGTGCTTCCACCCTCCTGCTCGCGCACTTCCGTGCCAAATGCAGATCATTTTCCGATGCCATCCATCCCCCCACAGCCACTGCCTTTTTCTGCACCATATCACTCTCCACACCCCCTTTCGATGCCGATGACTTCGTATCCCAAAACCCTTTTCATCTTCCAAACGCTCCTGACTGCACACCAGCACTCCAGAGATATTCCTCACCTTATAATGAACCTCGCACTCTACCTTCTGCCGTGGATTCAAACCTACTTCACCCACTGCTCGCCCCTCTACCCATCGGGGAATACATTTCAACCTATTTTGAATACATGCCTAGTCAACTCTAATTCGCGCACTCTACCTTCTGCCTTGGATTCAAACCTACTACACCAACTACTCGCCCCTCTGCCTCATCGGGGAATGCATTTCAACCTATTTCGAATACATGCCTGGTCAACTCTAATTTGTGTGCCCTTATCTCCCCCACACATTTCCCCTAGTACCGAACTTCAACGTAAATGAGGTTGGTAAGCTCCTGGTTGTGTGGTTCTGTCCTGCATTTCACTCCCCTAATTCCCAAAGTTGTAGACTGGCCCTCAGGAACGTCCATTATTCATTCACCAAAAAGTTATTCCATGTTGTGTTGCATCATGAAGTCTTCGTACACCCGCCAACCTATCCAGCAGCAAGTTTGCTTCGCCCGTCGCCGGTGGTTCTGAACATGGCCTTTAATTCAGGAAATCAATAGAAACGCACAGTGGTTTTCTGTTTGTTACTTCTGGGCTGGACTCCTAGTTGTGCCATCTAACTGGTAAAACTATAGCTACGGACGATGAACAAAATGAAATAATGAAAACCGGTCTCCTGTCTAATAAAAAAGGAAATTCGTAAAAAACAGTTAAAATAGCTTGGAGACTCTGTGATACCTGTGGCTTACATAAGCGTGCAGAGCTGTAGATGCCCCTGTCATAACTGTGGTTGTACCTCATCAAAGCCAACTTATTCATTCAGACAAAGAGCACGCACCTACCCGCTGCTCCCAGGAGTGAACATGTGCAATGTATGCAGAGTTTCCATCACCAGCGTGCAAGACTGGTGCCCGAAGGCAAGGATACTGCTCCATGTTGAGAACATAAATAGTAGCGCTATATCATTCATTCACTTGTGCCTTTTAACTGAACGACAGCCGCAGATCGGCTGACTCGGGAACCGTGGACAAACGCCCCGATTCTGTGTATCAATCCGTGAGTCTGTGAATTCGCCTTGCATCTCTTGTTAACTTTAAGCTGATAACAGCGTTTTCGGGGACTGGCGATTATTTGTCATATACTTACTTTCCTTCCTGGTACCCTCCAACCCATGTAATAAATGTCAGATTAACCAGTCTATCATCTCGGAATTTCAACCCCCTCACCCCTTATACATCTGATTATCCTAACCACACCAACACTCTGCTTGCTTACATTGGCTTTTACTAGATTCCTCGTACTTTAACATCGTATGTTAGCAAACCCAACCCTCGGTCGCTAGTCTACTGAGTACAAATCTATCTATCTCCTATTCCGTATAATCACCTATCATCATTACCCTCACCGCAGTAGACGTCGAGTTTTTATTTCTATATGTTTTAAGGCAGATTATTACACACCCAGTTTGATAGCACGCCTGCAACTATTCACTTGTTGGCCATGCTCTCTCGTCCAGTCGTGCCACTGACTGCAAGTCCGACATACTCCCCGATATTTTAAGGATGATTCGGCGCACCTTCCCCCGTATTACTCGTATGGACTTCCAAATACTCTATGGGGCCTACGTCAGACCGCTCCTGGAGTATGCCAACCAAGTTGTCTACTCAGGACGCACGAAAGACGTCACCCTCATTGAGCGTGTCCAGCGGGCCGC